CTGCTCTCCCCGGCGGGGGCCGGGAAGGACGGGAGCAGGGGAGCGGCGGTGACTTTCTGGGGACACCCTGGGGACGCTTTCTCTGGGGTGACAACCCCCAGAGGGGTCCCCGCACCCGTCCCAGGTGCTGCCGGCACCGTCAAACATGTGCCGGTGGGACGCGGTGGGCAAACCGGCTCCAGAGGTGACGTGGGGCATGTCACCCGCCCCGCTTCCACCACAGATTTTTAACAACTGGGGAAACTGGAGTTAGTGGGAAGAGTTTTCTGGCTTCCGTGCCCTTGGCCCTCCTCGTCCCGGCGCAGCGGCAGGAGGATGCTCGCAGGCGGCCGTTGGGCTGGGGGAACTCCTGCCCGCACCCCAGTAAGCCGGCGACCACCCAGGACTGATTTCCTGGCTCCCTTCTCAGGGCGGCTTTTGCAAATCTCCAGCTCCCGGAATCAGGGGATTGCGGTGCCCTTTGCTCCGCTGGATAAAGCCAACGAGGAGCGTTGGAAGGGGTAGCAAGCAAAGGAGACCCCTGCAACCCTAGTGGGTGCCGGCACGGCCTGCCGAGGGGTATTCTGCAGCTATCGGGTGTTTTTAGGGCTCCAGTTGGTGATTTTGGGCTAGGCAAGGAGGTGCAGGGGGGCAGCTCCTAAGAAGGGAGTGGGGCTCGGCCCGCGCTGTGCGCAGGGGAGGCCTATTTATAGCCAAAAATATCTGTGGAGTGTCAGCACGTGTGCGTGTCGCCACGCGGTGCGCTGGCGGGTTGGGTGACATGGGACAGTCCTGGCACGGCTGGCATCTGCAACGACTCCAGCCCCGGGGAAACCCAAACCTTTGCCCACCGGGTGAGAGCGTGGCCGGGGAGCCGCAGCCAGAGCGGGGCATCGCCGGCCGGAGGAGCTGTGCCGTGCCATGCCCAACGACCCCGTGCTGTGCCGAGCGGCCGTGCCGAGCGGGGCCATCTGCTCCTGGCCCTGGCCATGCGCCTGGGAGGCAGGCGGCTGTCGGGGGGCTGTGGGCTTGCCCCCCGATTCCTGCCCCTTCCCAACGGGGCCGGTTGCACCAGGAGTGTGGCTGACCGCTGGCTTGGTGGAGATGCAAAATAAAAACATTAATTGGTGAAGCGAAGCAGCCCGGGCGATGCCGGGCAGCGGGTGGCCCAGGGACCCGCCAGGCTGTGGGCGGAGGTGATGGGCAGCTACTTCGGGGTGTTTTGGGGGACGCCGACGAGCTCCCGCGCACCGGCAGCTGGTGTTTCAGCACCAGGCTGCGGTGGCGAGAGCTGAGCTGGGGAAGGGGTTCACGGGTGGCAGGAGTCGAACCGCTGCCCCAGCCATCCTCGGGGTGCAGGGGGGGTGTCACCTGGACTCGGCAGGGGGACCTCGGCAGCGGCACGGTGCCAGCCCCTTGCCGGGAAGTGCTGATTCACGGCGCTGAGCCGCCGGCCGGGGAAGACGACGCTGCCCTGGCCCCGGCTGCAGGATGCTCACGGCGGGCCCGACACCCCGGCACTCCCGGTGTTCCTCCCGCCGAGCAGGCGGAATGATAATCCCTGGGCAGCGGGTGCCGGCAGCGGCGTGGTTCTGCCAGACAGGGCTGTTTGGAAGGCGCTGGTGCGGCAGAGGGAGATTTAAAGGGTCGGCAAGCGCCCGCGCTCGAAATACATGCCGGCGGCTCCCTTGGGCCCCGCTGTGGCTTCCTTCGGCGCGATCTCCTCCTCCTCCTCGGATGCTCGCTGCCGTGGTCCTGCTGTTGTGGTGGTGGCGTGGGGGAGGCCCTGCCAGGACCGAGGTCTCCCGCCGGGATGGCAGCGCTGGGCTGCGGCGTGCCACAAAGACCCGACGCAACTCGGCACACCCAGCCTGTTTGCAGCGCCAAGGCAGACCGGCTGCAGGTCCTGCGGTGTTGGGGTGGAGGTCCCCAGATTTGGGCTTCCCCAGGGGTTTTCTGCTGCAGGACAGGAGAGCAAGCCCAGTGCCAGCTGTGCTGGCTGGCAGCGGTACAGAGCCACGGCATGGAGGGCTGCGGGTCCCGCTCTTGCACACTCCCATGTGCTCCTGCCTGCGCTTGCATGGCCTTGCGTGCACTTGCATGTCCTTGCTTGCATGTGCATGCTCCTGCATGTCCTTGCTCACATACGTGTGCTTTTGCACGCTCTGGCATGCTCCAACATGTCCTTGCTCACACGTGCATGCTCTTGCACGCTCCGGCACACTCCTGCATGTCCTTGCTCATGCGTGCAAGTTCTTGCACGCTCCATCATACTCCTGCGTGTCCTTGCTCACACATGCATGCTCTTGCATGCTCTGGCACACTCCTGCAGGTCCTTGCTCACACGTGCATGCTTTTGCATGCTCCTTCATGTCCTTGCATGCTCTGGCATGCTCTTGCGTGGAAGCCAGCTCCTGAGCCAAGGCCATGCCTGCGTGGCCGCGATTAGGGTGCGGAGATGGGGCCCGGCCCTGATAAAGCTTTCGTACCCACTGGCTGTCCGGGAGGTCCCCTGGGGGCTGGGGGGCTGCAGGCTGTCATGGCTCACGGGGACACGAAGGGTTTGGGGGCACCCAGGGTTTCCCCCTGCTGCACCGTGCACCCGTGGCCGAGGGTTCCTGGCAGCTCCGGGGTGCTGGGGGGGGTCCCGGCTGGGGGGCTGGCCATGGGGACCCCCCCCACCACCAGCCCGGCACCCCACACCCTGCGGGGGCCCCAGCAGCCTCCTCCCGCCCAGCCCGGCCACCGACAGCTGCTCGCAGGCATTTTTAGATACCGGCCATGTCCTATCTGTGTGTCAAATGTCCCTGGGGGTGAGCAGCCCCCCCCCCCGCCAGCAGCTGTCGCCCGCTTTCTGCCACGGGTGCCGGCGAATCCCCTCCACGGCGCAGGCGTCGGGGTGGGTGCGAGCAGCACCCGCTTCTCCCAAGGGCACCCAACGTTTGGGACGATGTCCCTGGGGACCTGGCCCAGGATGCTGGGTGGGCAGGCAGGACCTGGGTAGGGAAGCACCGCCGCAAGGAGCTGTCGGCACAGCTCGGCACAGGG